CTAATACTATATACATATAACATATAACATATAACTATAATACATATACAAATACATATACATATAATATACATATACATATACATATACATATACATATACATATACATATACATATACATATACATATACATATACATATACATATAGATTTACATATACATATACATATACATATACATGCATATACATGTTTATATCTTCACACACATACGGGCACGCGCAGACAACAGGCGGATTGGGGCTGGTGTCTGTTCCTGTTCGCGTTCAGAGCGTGTGACTGGAATGACCAGTTGTGTATCTTCGTAGTCGCATGCTTTGCTGAGCAGAGTCGTGTAGTACAGAACTGTCTCCAGCACATGCTTAGGAATCAGTTCCATCTTTTCGTCCAAAATGGCACGGTATTGGCTGAGGTGTATCTACACAAGCGTATGTTTTAGGGTTTAAGGGTTTAGGGTTGGGTTTAGGTGAGTGAGTGAGTGAGTAAGTGAGTGAGTGAGCAGGGGAGTGTGCATATAATTTGTGCGTGGGTATTTGAATGTGATATTTCAGCGCGAACGGAGCTGCGAGAAAAATCAGACGACTGCGTAGTATACTAACAATTACACCAGTGCATATACTTATACCTTCCTATCATCTACGAACAATCACACTTGAGCATATACATATATCTTCCTATCATCTACTAACATTTACACCTGTGCATATTCATATATCTTCCTATCATCTACTAACAATTACACTTGTGCATATACATACATCTTCCTATCATCTACTAACAATTGCACTTGTGCATATACATATACCTTCCTATCATCTACTAAGAATTACACTTGTGCATATACATATACATCTTCCTATCATCTACTAACAATTACACTTGTACATATACATATACCTTCCTATCATCTACTAACAATCACACTTGTGCATATACATCGCCTGTGTGTATACATATATCTTCCTATTATATACTAACAATCACACTTGTGCATATACATCGCCTGTGCGTATACATATATCTTCCTGTCATATCCTGACAATCCCACCCGTGCCTAGAAAACGTACCTCTGGTTTCCAGGAGAACACTCCGGCATCCGCCAGAGCAGCCATAAATGCACTGACGGCCACAAGCTCTTCCATCTCAGCCACAGACACCACACGCCCCGAACTGTCGTTAGAACGCCTCAGACATCGCATGAGACGCTCATAGTGGACAATTAAGAAAGACACGGCCTCGCCCACAGCCCGCGCCTTGAGTGTATGCAGCATGCTGGTATACAGACACAACACCTGTGTAGGGGTGGAGGGGTAGCGAGTGTAGTGTGAATGCACGCGCACAGCTTGATCACAACGAACAGCCCAACGCAACTGACATGGGCCGTCAGCGGATGAGTGCCCACACCTGTGGCCTGTGCGGCGAAGCCGAGAAGGAATGGGCAGACTCAAACATACAGGTGCAAGTGATAGGCAAGTATAAGCAATAGGCAGGTTTTAGTATCAGACAGGTGTAAGCAATAGGCAGGTGTAAGCAATAGGCAGGTGTAAGCCATAGGCAGGTGCAAGTAATAGGCAGGTATGTATCAGACAAGTGTAAGCAATAGGCTGGTGCAAGCAATAGGCAGGTGTTAGTATTAGACAGGTGTAAGCAATAGGCTGGTGTAAGTAATAGGCAGGTGTTCGTACTAGAAAAGGTGTAAGTAATAGTCAGGTGCTATTATTAGACAGGTGTAAATGGGCAAGTATGTAATAGGCAGGTTTAAGCATTCAAAGTATTGGGGGATCTCACCAGGAGCAGACCTTAGACTACCACCGATGGTTTATGAGTCAAGAGTTCGAACATTACAATCGCCGCATAGATACAATGGTAGGCTCGATATGATACTTTTCATTCGCCTGTGGTGAGTAATAGAACGAATTAGGTTCGCACTCTCACGCAAGCGATAGAATACAAATCCATACACTTCACAAGTCCAAACTAAACACAGAACACCTGACAGAACACCGTGGCACCTGATAGGGTCTCCTGTCCTGGATGTGCACGAAGGCATCTTTAAAATCCTAAAACGCTAAAATAAATACATCAATATCTTTAGAACCCTAAACCATTAAAACAATACGAAGGGATATACACACCAACAAGCCTTTGCACACCACATGCTAAGTGGCAGAGCGTAAATATCTGTAAAACCCTAAAACTCAAGATGCTCAAAACTCAACACAGCATACCTGACAGAACACTGTGTGCCACTGGTTATGCCTCCTGTCTTGGAGATAGTACGCGATAGGGCCGTCGAAGGTGCACACAGGTAGCCCCGTATACTTCATAGGCAGTCCCGCAATTGCGGTGTTTGCTAAAGCAGGAAGAGAATACATCGACTGTTCAGACTGGCCATTCACTGAGCCAAGATCTGGTATTGGATTCCGTGCTGACATTTGCTGTGGAGGTAACGAGGCGAACTGTGAATTAGTATTTGTGCCTATGAGTGGGGGCACGCGCAGCAATTCTACTACAGAATGAGGTATATACGGACGGCTCCGAGGATTGTGCGTGTGCATGTGTGGTGTATATGTTATGTGGTGGCTACTTCTAGTGGGCGAGTATCATTTATAAGCAAGGGTGCTTTGAGTACTTGAATCCAAGGTTTCTGTTTTGCAGAGGACGTGTCAAGACAGACGACGGCCGCTTCTTTCGATTGCCGACTAAATCATCAGCGTTGAGCAAAACAAGGTGAAGGGATGGACGCGCAATCGCAGATATGGACATCACTACAACACTACAGTGTCAGTGTGTCACTACAATGTCAGTGTTTCACTACAGTGTCAGTGTGTCACTCCTGTGTCAGTGTGTCACTACAATGTCAGTGTGTCACTCCTGTGTCAGTGTGTCACTACAGTGTCAGTGTGTCACTCCCGTGTCAGTGTGTCACTACAATGTCAGTGTGCCACTACAGTGTCAGTGTGTCACTACAGTGTCAGTGTGATACTACAGTATCAGTGTGTGTAACTGTGCGTGCCGTTGTGCGCATCCACATAACTACTACACATACATTCACATAATCATGGATATGGGGATGCAATACTATACACAGAAACATAGGTAAACACAGAAACATCGACCGCAAAAACCCATACACTTGAACCACCCTGCACGTGTAGATCACCCATCCCTCCCACCTGGTTGTGTTGCATGCTGTCCCTTTGACTGTGTGTGGGATGTTGGCTGTGGCGTTCGTACTGATGGATTTGCGCATCTAGAGCGGCCGATAGTGTGGAGATAGGTCCCAGAGGGGACATGATATTGGCGCCAGGACTAAATAAGGAAATGGTGGTCAGCAGTCTCAAGCAACTCCCGATGAGCAGGGGGTAGCGTTTGGTACGTATCCACGTGTTCATGTTGCTTAGCAAAGGCTCGAAGATGGATCCGTAGGAGTATTCGCTGTAACATGAAGCAGCGGGATAGCAGATCAATGGTCGATTGTCAGAGATTGAACATCGGACAGAAAGGGATCTAAGGGACAACATGGTCAGCGTACACCCATACCCTCTTCAAGAGAAAATAAAAACATCCCACATGACTAATAAAAACATCACACAACAACTATAATCCACATAACAATTACTATCAACAAAACAATTACTTCATTTGCCATGGATACATCAAGAGAGCTAACTAGTACACAGGGGTAAAAAGCATACAAACGGTACAACAGTTACTATCTCGTTCTTCATTTGCCATGGATAGATCAGGAGAGCTATCTAGTACACAGGGGTAAAAAGCATACAAACGGTACAACAGTTACTATCCCGTTCTTCATTTGCCATGGATAGATCAGGAGAGCTATCTAGTACACAGGGGTAAAAAGCATACAAACGGTACCACAGTTACTATCCCGTTCTTCATTTGCCATGGATAGATCAAGAGGGGAAGATAGGCCTCTAGTACACACAAAAAGTACAACAATTACTATCCCGTTTAAGTACGACACTCCATCTGCGACCACAGCGTAGCACCTACCGATTAAGATAGAGCGGATCCATCTCACACACTGAAGTGCGGTGGAGCACTCGCCACACAACCGACGCCGTGGAGGCGGATGGTGGTCCACTGCGATGGGAGGGGTAGGCAAAGATGAGATAGAGAACACGACTGGGTGGGAGGGGCAGGCAAAGATGAGATAGAGAGCACGACTGGGTGGGAGGGGTAGGCAAAGATCAGATAGAGAACACGACTGGATGGGAGGGGTAGGCAAAGATCTGATACAGAACACGACTGGATGGGAGGGGTAGGCAAAGATCAGATACAGAACACGACTGAACAAAAACAGAGAACATGATTGATAGACAGAATAATACATAACTATACAGATTAGGAATCAACTAGACAACTGACAGGAACAGACTAGAGACAACAGGATTGAATTAGCCAGATATCAGGACCAATTGGGACTATACACGGACTATAAGTGGACTATAAATAGACTGAAATGGACTATAAATAGACTATAAATGGACTTAATCAGACAGTCGAGAACGAGATCCACGCAAACGGCGATGGCTGGGCCTGAGTGAAGGGGTTAAGGACAATCTCTAATGCAACGCACATGGATACCAAATCACCAGAGACATGTGGAATACAGTCGTGTGAAGTGCATGGGGACGAATAGGGCCGCATATAGATACATAGGAACACTAGGCCATATATGTAGATACCTAGCAACAATAGGCCATATATATAGATACCTAGCAACTATAGGCCATATATAAATACCTAGGATTACTAGACCATATATTTAGATACCTAGCAACAATAGGCCATATATATAGATACCTAGTAACAATAGGCCATATATAAATACCTAGGATTACTAGGCCATATATAGATACCTAGGAATGTGCAGCTATCACTGTTCCAAAGCACACTACGACAAGGTGCAAGCAAGCCCATTATTCTAGGGTTTGGATGTTTAGGGGTTTTCTATGAGTAGAGCAAGATCCAACCCAGAACTCTGTGGATAGGGTAATCTACCCTGGTACATGCACACACGTATATATAT